CCCCAGCGTCGCACCCAGCAAAGTTTGGGGCCGGTCTCGGGCTCTTCTGCCTAGGCCTGCTAAATTGTACCCGCTCTTTCCGGGCACTGCCTGGGCTTGTGGCACCGAGTGCCGCCTGCTGTTTCTGCCCCCGCGCTCGGGTGCAGATTGGCAGTTACTTTTTGAAAGGCATCTCGGCAATTCAGGCTTTCCGATTACGTAAGGAAGGGTCGTTGCGTAGATCTTAAAATTAAAAGGCGTCCCAGGAATTCGTAATCTAACCGTACTTCGTAAGGACTAACAGGCGCTTTCCAGAAACGTGCGTTTTCAAGGCAAGAAGGGGCTTTTTTTGGTAATGTTTGGAATGCCGTGCAAAGAAAGCCGCGAGGCGTCCCTGGTTATTATTTTCACTACAGTAACGGTGGCTGAACTACAGCGTGCCTTAGGTTGCAATGCAAATGTTCTCACTTTTTCTGCAAAGTCCTCTGCAACAAACTTGTCTCATTTCCTGGACTGTTTTAGTCTGTGAGCCTGTGTGCTTGAATTTGCTGAAGTTTTCAGCAAAGAAGAAAGCAAAGATAGAAATAGAGGACATTAATCTCCCCTGCGGTATGGGTGCTCATGTTTTTTAATGATATGGTATTTAATAAAAGAAAATTTCAAAGCAAAAGGAGTGACTGATGCAAGGCACTTCTTCTTAACTGTCAGGTTGAGATGTATCTTAAAAATGTTTTGAAGTCTTGTGGTAGCTTTGGTGTAGGAAAGCATGGCTTTGGCCCTGTTCATGTTTTTGTCTAGTAGCTAAAAAAGTTTGGAGTGAGCGTGTTCACGTTCCCTGTGGGAAGTAGGGATGAACTGCTGCTGAGACATAGCTGTGTCACAAAGTACACTAGTGTGGTATTGTTTTGATTGGAGACTGCTACTTTGTTTCTCTAATTAAGTTTATACAGGGCATTCTCAGCAATACTAGGAAATAGTATTATTAGTAGTACTAGCGGAGATGCTACTTACATGATTCTTTAAGTATAGCTACACTAAGAAAGCACAGTTTCATTAAATTTTGCTTTTAAGTTTTTGTTCTCATTGTATGAAAGATACTCTTACTAATCCATGGGAAAGGACAAAAAAAAGTAAAGAATTGTGAAAAACATGAAATAAACCAAAAATACAGGAGACAAATTTTTTTTCCCCGTGGCCTGTCTTGATTATAGTACTGTGAAATGCTACAGAACAAAAATAATGTATTCTCATTTGCTGAAATATTTTTAAATGATATTTCAAGTCATACGATACGTAAAACATGCTAGAATGACAGACATTAGTTAAGGTAGCCCTAATAATTGTTCTTGTCATTATTTAATACCTAAGTATAGTTGTGGGCTTGATCCATTTATTTCTGACAGGTTAATTCTTACTTAAACTTTTCACAATGCTTATGAAACGGGATTCTTTCATATGACTCCACTTTAGACTTTCAGTTACTTAAAGAGCTCTCTTGTTCTTGCCTCTACTACGGGTGACAGTAGCTGATTCACCTGAACACTTCTACCTTCTGTTTCTCATTTACAATCATGCAAGGGTGATCATTAAATGTTTTGAGAGATGTTGATGCTGAGCACTAGGTAGGAGTTGTATAGTGTTATTAGACAGCAAAGCAGTGAAAAGCACAAGAAGGTCGATGAAATCAGTGGTCTGCTAGGTTTTACAAGAACTATTTTTTTTTCTTCACCCTTTATTCCCTTTCTTTATATAGATCTCATGAAATCTGAATAGTGAGACCTGTAAGTTAGCTTCTAAATGTTCCCTTGTAATAGCTTTGTTCTGAAGATGACATTTATCTTCTGTATCTGTTGCGATACAACTTCAGTTTTTCTCTTCCCCCCTGTTTCCCCCAAAAGACAAGTCTTTGCTACTTGCTGTAATCATATATTTTTGTAAACCGTATACCATTCTTTTTATTTTAACTGTATCTCCATAAACTCCTGTGTTGCTTTTGGTAATATTTCCCCTTGATTTATAAGCATCAGCTCTCAGCAAGGGCTTGGTGGTTTTGCTCTGCCCTTGCTGTTGCTTTTGAGAGCTAGCCTGATGAAGTGAATTAGTCTTGTCCCTGACTGTCACCAGTGAGGGAGGTTTGCTGGCTTTACAGCTGTCTGGCCGTGCTGATGCCACAGGTAGTTTACATCAAGAACAATGAACTTGGTGGTCAGAGAGAGCCACAGCTCTGCCTGTTCAGTCCTCCACCTATGCAACAGGTGAGAAACTACCCAGTTCTCCTCCTGTGCCACTATTGTGTAGTGCAGCTAGTTGGCAGCAAAGAATAATTTGCTAGGTAAACTGTCCTATGAGTTGTTTGTAAAGAGTGTTATTAAATAGCTCAGTAGTTCAGGTATATTTAAACTGTGGATTGTCTTGCGGTATTTTTTGATGCCTTACATTATCTGCTCAATACCCTTATTTTTTTTTAATATTTCTCTTCGTTTCAGGATGACACAGAAGAAAATTCCAATGACGGCAGCCAGCCATCCAAAAGACGACGTATGGGCTCAGGGGACAGTTCTCGGAGCTGTGAAACTTCTAGTCAGGACCTCGGGTAATACTATGTTTTACAATTCCCACTTTTTCTTTGCTAGTCTTATTGTATTGTTCGATATACTTAAGTATTAGCTCTTCTTTCTTTGCTTGTGTATTCTTCACATGCCTTTCTGAATGGAGGCAATGTCCTATGCATAGCTAGCTGCCTTTTCCTCCCAGCGTATTTTAAGACATTTTGTTTTAAAATGACACAAAATGTGCTACATCCAATTTACAATCCAGAAGCACAGCTTACCTGTTTTGTAAAATACTACATATTTTTGAGTGAGTTTTGACCTGCTTTTCCTGCTGTCCTATCTGCTGTCACAGATAGCCCTTTCTTCATGTTCTGTCCCTCAGCATATTGATGAATGCTGGTTTGGAGAAATGTATGTGGAGTGTAACTTTGAAATGGGTTAACAGGATGCAGTGTTCTGAAGTGCTTGTCCAACTTCACAGATGTTGTTCATTAACGTATAAATAGGAATTACTGGATTTCTAGGAATGTAAGTATCCCTCTTAAGGATTATTTGATTTGTTCTAACACTGTTCTTATATTTAGATATAGCTATTTTCCTGATGAAAACTTGATAGAATACAAGTGGCCACCAGATGAAACAGGAGAATACTATATGCTTCAGGAGCAAGTCAGTGAATATTTGGGCGTGACTTCCTTTAAAAGAAAATATCCAGGTATTTATTTTTAAAGTTTTTCTTCTAAAAATTTTGGTCTTTGTACAGTGTGGATGTAATCTGTGTCTCTCTGACTATAGCATGAGCCAACTGATTAAAAAAAGACCCTGGCAAGAGCAGATCTGAATTATATATGTTGTGCTTTTTATTTTTGTTACCAGCATATTGAAAATGTATCCTGTGGTTTTCGAGGTAATTCAAGATTTTTTGGTATTGCCACTGAAAATCCATAAACAAGTCTGATTTGGTACTTAGATCAGCAAGTACCTTTTGAAAACTGACCTCAATTTTTAAATATTTTGTTGGTGATTTCTTGCTATATAGCTATATCTTTATATTCTGTTTCATGAATTGTGACAACATTTCTACACTGTGGAAGAATTTTAAAAAATGAATTGAGGAGGTTCTAGGATTTGAGCCTTCATTGTTCAGAATTGTCAAATCTGGTTCGTCTGTCAAGAAATTTATTTTTAAAAGGCATATTAAAAGAAAAAAGAATGTACCTTCAGTGCTTGATAATATTTTCTGCATCTGAGGTCACATGTCAGGTTTCTTCAGTATTTCTGTAAATCATAACTACAGGCAGGGTACTCAGAAAAATTGACCATGTCCCTACAGTGTATATTAAATCTAAACATAATTTATAAAGTTATCATGTTTGTAGGAATAGTAGTATAATACAGACTCTCACTGCTTGGAAATAAATTGTCATAATACTTTGACACTGTTTATGGGGGAGTGTGAGTAACTGCACACATTTTTATTGCTGGTTTTTGTTTTCTTTGGAGATTTAGAAAGACGAGATCTATCTCACAAGGAGAAACTCTACCTCAGAGAACTAAATGTTATCACGGAGACTCAGTGCACACTAGGTAAGAAAACAAATTGTTAGATTCCTTGTTATAGTATTAAAAATATGGCACACTGAAACTGTGATTCAGTTTGGTAGAGAAGAATTACATCGCTCTCAACTGAAGACGTAAATTCTGAGATGAAAAACGGTTTATTATTGATTTGTGTAACTTCACCATGAGGTATCAGTATTTCAGATCCATTATAAAAAAAATTAAATTTTGGATCTATTCTCATTACTTAGTAAAATCCTTTCTATGTTGTAAATTAACTTTTAGAACCTTTTTGACTTTCTAGAAAAGAGAACACCATAATTTTTCAAATTAAAAAGTACATCAGTCTTGTTTTGCTGAGTTAGCTGGAACACAGCAAACATTACTGTATCTTACATGGCTCAGCTTATATGTCAGAAGTTAAAAGGGTGTGTATTAAAGCACACAATGTGCTTTAAATGGAATGATGTCATTGATGTGGCTTATATTGAAAGAGCTTGAAGTATCTTTTTCTTCCTCTGCTGTGGCTTGAAGCACGTTGGAGATTAAATGATGCCTGTTGCATTTTTTTCTTTATATCATGGGTTTGTGCAAATGTAATGTCATTTTATGTACTAGCAGTCTTTGGTATACCACCTTTATTTCTCACCTGCCAGCTCTCTTGATTTCTTTTTTTTTTTTTAAACTTAAATATGCAGGAGACAAGAGTATCTAATTTTTGTCAATAGAAGCAAAATGCTATATTCTGCCTCATATATCCAGTAGAGACGTGTGCTGAGTTAACTATCCCTATTTTTTAAGGTTATATTTATAATCAGCGGTAGGAACATAAGTCAACCTCCATGCTTTTGTCAATGTTTGGAGATTAGTTGTGTTGGAACCTTTAAAGGAGGAGTTCTGCATTGTAGCTCCAAACCGAGGCATTCTGATTTCTGGACTTCAAATGCTTCAGTTGGGAGTCAGGAGTCTGCGTGCAGTTTGCTGCTCTGAATTGCCCTTACAGTAATTCTTCCTCGATTTGCGTAGAGAGATTACATAGACTTCATGATCTCAGTTAAGGTTCTTCAAGGTGATGAAACTAACACTTCACCAATACTGGAAACTGAAACTAACAGTTCACCAGGTCCTGCTTAGAGCAAAGGTTCTGCCTCACAGGGGAGTTCAGTGGGTGGCTGAGTCAACGTGAAGGGCTCTGTAGCTGTAAGCAAGAAAAGAAATGAGCCTTGCCTCCTTGGATAGAAGCAAACTCCTACTAATCAGCCTTGAAAGCTGAACAGTGCAAGTTCACTCCTACTTGAGAGAGAAGCATTATGCCCAGCAGGTTGTTGTTTTTAGCTGCTCAGAAGCTTGAGTTGATCATTGTGGGGTATAAATAACCTACGTTTAGTTTTGCCAGATAGCATCATTATTGCTTTTATCTATTTTAGGTCTAACAGCTTTGCGTAGTGATGAAGTAATTGATCTTATGATTAAAGAATACCCTGCCAAACATGCCGAGTATTCTGTTATACTGCAAGAGAAAGAACGTCAGCGAATAACAGATCATTATAAAGAGTACTCTGTAAGTAACTAGCGAATAAGTGAACCAGATCTGTAACATGTGGCGTATCAGAAAAGGCTGTTCTCAAACTGATAGTGAAATGAAAATGAATTAACAAAATTGTTTTTATTCCAGCAAATGCAGCAGCAGAACACACAGAAAGTAGAAGCCAGTAAAGTTCCAGAATATATTAAAAAAGCTGCCAAGAAAGCTGCAGAATTCAACAGCAATTTAAACCGAGAGCGGATGGAAGAAAGAAGAGCCTATTTTGATTTACAGACACATGTAGGCAGATTTAATTTTCTTATCAATGTCAATAGGTAGCTCCTTGCTTGTTTTAGTAAAGTTGGTTTTGATACCATTTTAACTATTTTATTATCAGGGGTTTTGATTAGTCCTGTTTCAGTCATGTAGGGACTTAAACAGTTTTGCTGATAAATGGGTAATACTGCTAAAAATAATAATCTCAAATATATTTAATGTGAAAACTTTTTTTTAACTTGAAAATACATGTCTTGGGAAGCTTTAAAAATTTCAGTATTTGTTGTCATGTCTTTAATCTGCTGGTAGTAGCATAAAATTAAGAGGTATGTTTAGGCTACTAAGAAGCTTCTGTTGCTATTGTATCTATTCATATAAAGAGCTAATTCTTTCTTGGAACAGCTCCAAAATTTTGGCTGAACAGTACCCAGAGTAAAAAAGTAAGCTATTTATCTTCTAAGAGAGTATGTCCTTGTTTTTGTTAGGTGTTATATTATTTTTGTATTAGATGTATTTCAGGCTTCTGTGCTTGATTTAAAAACAAAAAAAAATTAGCTGGCATTTTGAAGCAGGACTTTTCTGCTTGTATAAAGACAGTAAAGCAAAAATTTTCTCTATGCAAATTCTGCAAATTATTACATGGCAGTGTGTTATGGAAAGTTTATATTATCCTTGTTAGAGACAAGATAGTGGATGATTAGTTTAATATCTTTCTAAGGGAAAGAAGGCTTCTGTGTAAGCTTATCCTTTCCATATATTTGTATTATTAACTGCATTTTTTATAGTACCATCTGGTTTCAGAATTAGATGGACATGTTCTTACTATCCTCTACCAATATGGACCAGCAATGATAATTCGTGCTAAAGATGCCAGTCACAAACGTTAATGTTTACTGTTTCAATTATTAGATTTTTAATTTTTAAATTACTTTACATAATGTACTGGTAGAAGTAGTCTTACCTAATACTCGTTCAGTTCACTAGATACTTAGTGATTGGATTTATTCCATAGTACTATTTTGTGAGTGGGCTCTCTTACCATTTTAATGAATTGGATTTCCCATGGGAGAACTTGCATAGCTGTTCCAACTCAATAAAGCTGGCTCATTAAAAAATGTTTGGGGGCAGATGGTGAGGAAGGCTCAAAAGTTTCTATGTGAAACAAAAAAAGTAATTGTTTTGTATTAAACAATACAGATTATCCAGGTGCCTCAAGGAAAGTACAAAATCTTACCTACAGAGAGAACAAAGGTTAGTCCTTATCCAGTGGCTCTCATACCCGGCCAGTTCCAGGAATACTACAAAAGGTACTTTAAAAGCATCCTAACTGCGGATTCTGTTGCACTGGTGTGTTTGCTCTACATCTAGCAGATGGAAAACATTTCAGTGTGTTTACTGTAAGGTTTTGAATTAATTTTATGCCTGAGACACCTGCTAGTCTAACAGATGCATAGCAGGACAGCTTTTGTCAACAAAACAGTGCTGGCTGCAAGAGGACTGTCTCCACTGATGTATTGCAGTGTCTGAGATTTTGGCCTGCTCAGATATTTACTGTGGTAAAAGGAGACATTGATTTCACTCCTGCCACCCTCATGTGTTTACTTATCATCTGCCTCTGCATGTGTGCTAAGATTAATGTTACTATATCTAAATGTTGTAATGCTGGCTTGTAATCACATGTTTTCTGTGTGACAGTCTTACTGGCCTTTCCTAAATTTTTAGGAAGTTTTTAATTTAAAAAAAAAAATTTGATTGATCTTGTGCACTAAGTTTAATGTTGGATTTGTGAGAGTAAGGTATTGCTAGTGGATCTTTGTATTTCATTGAAAGTGTGTAGAATCATAGAATCACTTTGGTTGGAAAAGACCTTTGAGATCATAGAGTCCAACCTTTAACCTAACCCTGCCATCCCACCACTAAACCATGTCCCTAAGCACCTCATCTATCCTTCTTTTAAATACCTCCAGGGATGAGGACTCTACCACCTCCCTGGGCAGCCCAGTCCAGAGCCTGACAACCCTTTTGGTGAAGAAGTTTTTCCTAAGGTCTAGCTGTGTACTTGATAGTCTACCCAAATTTGAGTTTACCAGTGGCGTGCTCCCATTTGACAGATACATACTGATTTGAAAATTGTTGCCTATGTCTTACCATCTACAACAGAGATGATACTCATCCTATACATGCACAGTTTTCTTTAGAGAAGCTCCTTATCTGTCTATGCCTTGCTCATTCCAGTGTGTGCATACAGCCCACCCCAAATCTGCATGTTACAGGGCATTCTTGAAGGACTTCAATTTTATTAAATTGATTGAATTAAAAATACAAGTTATCTTGTTTATTTTGCACTTATAAGCTGCAAGTGAAACTGCTTATCCTTCTTAGTGAAGGACACACCCTTTCAAAACATGCATCAAAATAATTTCCTACTCCTTACAATGCTTGTCCTTAATAGTAAGAGGACTATCACTTTTTCTTAGTATTTAAGGTTAAAAAGAAAGGGGTGGATTACACATGTTAAGCTGTATCTAACTATAAGCAATGTGATTAGATCTTCACATTCTTCTGTAATTATATTTTTATATGCATTTTTTGTTCTCCTTCAGTAATCAACAAACTCTGACATATAGCTGTATTCTTTGCTTTGCCTTGGACCCTAGCTGTTTGTGTGCTCTGGGTGAGAATTGTTGTGCACATGTTACCTGGGCACTGTACGTTTATAAACAAAGTGTATGGTCTGTTGGGCATAGTAACATGGATTGGTTAAAAATTTTTAGGGGTTCCGTGGCCTCTTATGATTATGTAGGTTTGGAACATTGCAAAGAATACTCTTCCTGTGTTCCACAAGTATCTGCTATACAAAGAAGACAAGTACTAGATGGTGTCACATCTGAGAGGAGAAATTAGTATGTTTCCTATTTTTTCAGAACGGCATGGTTTTATGTGCCTTGCTGAAAAAAGGGAGCTTTTCTTACTCTTTCTCACTGAAGTCCTTGTACGCTGTGTGACTTAATATTTATGCATAAAGTACACATGAATTAATTTATTTTTTAACTTTAGATACTCTCCAGATGAACTTCGTTACTTGCCGTTAAACACAGCTCTTTATGAACCTCCTTTGGATCCAGAGCTACCTGCTTTAGACAGTGATGGAGATTCAGATGATGCAGAGGAAGGGCGAGGTGATGAAAAACGGAAACCCAAAGGCAATTCGGTGAGACAAATTGAAAGTATTCTTCAACAAAAAAATCCTTTCCCTTCACTTCTGTTAGTTTCAGTAGTTTCTTAGTAGAATCTTTAACATTTGCAAAATGAAGGAGAATCATAAACTAAAAGAGTATTCCCTTTTTTAGTACTTCTCTTTATTTTATAACATTGCTCTCCAGCTTTCCATTTTGATCCATTTTTAAAGTAAATCAATGAAATATTTGAAATTTCAGGCCCTTTCTTCCTTATTTTTAAAGAAATCTTGAAAAATCTTCCCAACCACAGCTCTTTGTTATGCCCTTTTCCCCAAGAGGAAGTTGCTAGCATTTCTGAGGGGAATGAACACTGTAGTTCAGGTCACAGCATATTTTGCTATTTAAGTCCCACAGAATCTGTCACTAAAGCAAAGGCATTGATTGGTAGCCTTGTAACTTTTTCTTCTTGCGATGTAGAAGCAGGAAGTGCTCCATACAGAAACAGTTACTTTATTCCAATTTAAAGAGAAGGTAAAAAGCACTGTTTGTTTGTTTTACAAATACATCTTTAAAAAGATGTTTATCTTCTCGCTATTTATGCAAACACAAAATTAACTTGTTACTGGAAGTTAAGGGAAACTTTCACATACCTACCTTGATAGTGTTCAAGAGCAGCTGAGCTTCAGATGAGCTGAGTACAACTGAACCACTGGTATGTTGGTCTAGTTAGTACGTTGGTGACAACCACTTTCCAGAAGTTTAACCCTAATTTTAAGAGTAATGGAATGTAAAATCACAGGTGCCTTTAACAGTTTCTAGTTCAGTTGATGAACATGTTAGATGGTGGGTATATATAATGCTAAATTTTGCCATATAAGCATTTATTTTGTTTGAATATTCATAAGCTAGTCGTAACTGAAGAAGGAAGGAAAGGGTCATCTTGTAGGGTAACAAGGGAGAGAGAGCTGGTAACACACCCTTTCTGCTTGCATTTTTTGGAGAAAAAGAAATCTTACAAATTCAGCATGCTACATGTCAACTCAAAAGTTTGGTTTAATCATACTCCAGCTTTTTTACAGTTGGGTTTTAACCTTTTTTTCCCAGTTCCCTTATCCACTGACTTCCATTCCCCTTAATGGTAAAGAAAAGTAACTGGACCAAGCAGACTGTCCTTCCAATTTTTACAAAAGTTCAGAAGTCTTTGGTGGCAGAATGCAGAAGGGAAAATGTCCTTGTGTTGGAAAAATTCCTGTGAAGTGGGTTTGGCTACAGGAGCAGGGGTTCTTTGCTAGTCATTGGTGCATATTGTTGAGGAAAAACAGCTGTTGAACACAAAGGAGAGGCAGTTGTCAGGCCTCTTTTCCTGAGTTTTGGGTTACCTACCATTCATCAGGTCTCCCTGGTGAGTCCTACAACATGCTTTATGCTTTTTCCTTTTTCTCCCTCCCCATTGTTGGAGTCGAGTAGCAATTTTCCTGTTCTGTAGTGTTTTAATGGGCCTGTCCTAAACAACCCTTCCCCTAAAATAACAGTGAAACATACCGGGTTTTGTTGCAACATAGTTTGCTTTGTTTTTTGTGTTATACTCTTCCCTTTGCACTCTGTCTGTTTTGTCTGTTTTGATTTTAGGCTCTGGGGCATAGGCTGATTACTGTTATGTTTGTACAGAGTGCCTTTTACTGTAGGGCACCACTGTTATTTGGCCCTTTGGTTTTTATTGTAAAAATGTGATTAATCATATTGCTTTCTTCTGGAGCTTTTTGGAGGCCTTTATTAACAATTTTTCTGAGAAAAATCTTGTGCTGCTGCTCTTAATTATGCTTACATTGATCTTTCACCCTCTTTGAACCTCTTCCCCTCTTTCTTGCCTCCTCATTCCTAAAAAAAAATGCTTTAACTGCAGCACAAATTCTGTTGTTTGGTTCTGTATTAAATATTGAAATGTGTTTTGCCTTTGATGGCATTCTTCTGCTGCAATCCAAATGAAATACTTAGATTGCTCCTGGTGAAAATAGTAGATGAGGGTGGCAGAAAAGACCTTCACATGTTTAATTCAAGGCAGTGCTATTTGGTAGTACACTTTAAATACATGGCAAGGGCACTTTTAACTTATTGCTGGCCCTTTACTTTGTAAAAAACATCTGCATATAGTGGATTTCTTGCTGGCTTTTAAAGGAAAACGGTTCAAAGAATTACGCTGATGTGCTCCCTACGCTGGTATCAAAACCAACTGGAAAACATGACTGCTGTTGCCAATGCAATGAGTCTCTTTGCATGAGAAATAATAGATAATGAAGGTTACGAGCAAAGGTGTTCTAGATTGTGATGTACCCCATGCTTTTGCAGAAGGAAAGATGTATCCTTCTCTTACCTTAGTTGGCTCTAAGGGGCATAGGAAAGACTTGTCTGTCTATCCAAAAAATAAAAAATATAGCTATGGTATTTTTATTATAGGACAATTCGTCTGGCAATGTATCTGAAGGTGATTGCGCCACAGACAACCAGGAGGATTCTTTTCAGGGAAGACAAAAAACAAGAGACAAAAGTGCTACTCCAAGAAAAGATGGTTCCAAACGTTCTGTATTATCCAAATCAGTTCCTGGGTACAAGGTAGAAGAAAAAAGCCCCTGAATGAACTTCTTTACTGACCAGCCTCTCCCTGAAATATTTGTTTTTCCAATAATAAGGGACTTCTGCTTGCTGTACTTCACTAGCTGCTCTCCTGTTGTGTGCTCCATCTGTTTGCTTCCTTACTTCCTTTTTGCTTTTATTTCACGTGGGGCTTTCCTTTAGCCTAGCTATACAGTGGCCTCTGTTGCTGTTAACTTCTCAGATTCCCAGGCAGTAACATCAGAAAAATCCACTGCAGATTTATCATTGGAACTCTACGTCTTTCTGTCTGCTTTAACACAGCAGTCGGAATTGCTTTCCAGTTCAAAACTAGCACTCAGTATCTGTTTGTTTGGGGTTTTTTTCCCTGCTATTTAGTATGGCAGCATACCAAGAGATCAGTGGTGTAAAGTGCAGCTTTGTGGCTGAACATGTTGTTATGATGTTCATTTTAAATATAGCCTTTCAGCCTGAGATGTTACGATGTATAGGATGGAAGGTGAGAAACTTACTACAGTTGTATAGGCAACACTATGTAACCACTTTAACAGTATATGGAAAGTAGCTTTTTATGTAGTTCATACTATGTAGAAATGTTTGCGGGCAATAAGCTAAAAACTTGGTGAGGATGTTAAGACATTTCAGCTGGCAAGCAGCAATTGCCAAACCTAAGACCCAAGTCATCAGTATTACTCTATAATAATTTCAAAAATTAAGATACAAATAAGATTAAGAAAAAATACTTTTCAGAAGAAATGGGAATTGACATGCATTATTTATGTGTTGTTATTCTGCATACTAAGAGAGGATCTGAACATAATGTAACACTTTTAAAGCACATTATTGCCTAGTCCTGTTCCACTGAAAGGAATGAGAATTTTCCATTGACTTACACGGGAGTAGGAATAGACCCATAAAGAGGGAAAACACTACAGTAAGATAGGGTTTAGTATTTATCAATCAGGAATGCTTGTTAAGAGAGGTTAAGGAAAAAGGAACATTTTTGTCAGTGACAAGATGGTACATATTGAGAAACTGTCTCAGCAAAAGTGAGCTGTTAATGGCTTGCATTTTATATTCATAAATATAATATCTGTATTTACCAAGTTAACAGTAAATAAACTATAACTTACCTTAAGAAGCTAATTTCCAGCAAGAATCGGACAACTTTGATAAATTTTCTCTGCATACCGTATCTGTACGAGTTCATAACGGATAGCAAGCTCCAGCTGCGTTTTCTCTTTTCAGGAACTTACTAAGAAATATGCAAACTATGGAGATTTAGACTGTGGTTATCATATGTATATTTTTTTATATGTAATTTTGCAAATTGTTGTAGACACAGAATGCATACCAGTATTCCCATGAACATGAAATCCAAAGATGGAGCTTAATATTTTTTTTTAGCTTTGTTTAACTTGACAAAGATCGTGTGCCACTGGTTTACAGAAGTTTGACTTAGCTGCGAGATGTCTGGGTGTTTGATTAGTCCCGTCTATTTAATGGCCTTAGGAGTGCATAGGGAGAGGACTGATGGAGCGGAACTTTTTGCGGAGTTCTGAACTTGTAATTGTAGAAGAATAATGGTAGTCTGCAGCATTACATTTTGAAAATGGATTCCCATAGCAATTGCTTACTGGTTCAAAATCGCTGGTTGTGTTAGTAATGAGGTGTTAACTGTCAACTCAGTGCCATGTCTTTGCAATATCAGCATACCCTGCCTGCATCAGCCATCAGGCTGTTGAAAAGTCAGAGGTGGTGATGTTGTGTTGGGAGGGTGAGAGGACTGGCTTTCTTGTTTGTGGGAACATTTAAACGCTTTCAGTAAACCCAATTACATGAGCTGTTTTAACTGGTAAGAGAGACAGATTCTTGTTTGTTAGTCTGTGAAACGCCAGATAATGATACACCATATGTGCCTAAAGGTTAAGGCACTTTGAGCTGAAGGCTTAACTGATATAAAATGTGTCCCTGTGAATTCTAAATCTTTGTAATACTTCTGTTCTGTATTGTTCTCTGATATTTGACTGTTTTTGTAGGACAGTAATCTTTTGGTTACATGTAGTTAAAACTGAAGGATCATTGCTATGGCATCCACATGCAAATGTATAGTTGTAGCCACATGACGAGTATTACAGGATTCGCACATTTCCACTGAGTTATTTTTGAGTAAAAGAAATAATGTATTTTATATGGAGCCATTTTTATTGTTGGTTCTTTAACAAAGAACAGTTAGCGTGTGTTTTACATTTTGTCATGTTACAAGTAGCAAGTCTTTGTTGCTGCAGGACTGGCTGCTACAATTGCACACACAGGGTACTGTTAAAAGTACAGGAGATTATTTTGCACATAAAACTGAAATGTATTGAGAAACTATATTTTACAACACTTCTGTTTTGGGTCACTGTATATGAAAATGGAACGCTTTGCATTCGGAATAGGACCTTATGAAAATGGTGTAGCTGGAATGCCTACTTTGAGAGCTGCAGCACAGCAGCGTGGAAGTGAAAACTTACAGAGCAGGCAGTCATCGATTTGACCCTGCATTCATTTTCTCTCCCTTCCTCATCCCAGTAACAGGAGGACATAGAAAACAAAATTTAATCTAATCGGATGGGATATTGTGACTTCCCATTTGGATTTGATAGACTTTTTTCATAGCGTTTCTAAAAGCCATTTATAGTGGCAGAACTTGAACCGATTTGAAATGTGAATAGTCTTGCATTTTTTTTTTTAATTTTTGTAAAAATAATTCCATACTGTTGGAACTTTATTACTAATAGGCTGTGATTCTCCCCCACCCCCCCAAACATGCACGATTTCTAATGAATACAATTTAGTGAAGTAAGAATAGATGGAAGCATTGTTAATAAATGCATCTATATCAGTGTCTAACTTCAGGATTATGTGTATCAGAGTGTTAACTGCACGTACCCTAATGCAGGTAACAGTGACCGAAAAGCAGCTCACTTTAGTTTTGCTGGAGTACAAGGGAGTATGCTGCTGTACATTAAAGGCAGTAAAACACAAGTCCATAATAAATTAGAAGTCTGATTAGAAAAGTGCACTTGCTAGTCTAGAAAGGCTTGGTTTACATAGAAGTAGGTAAAAACACACACACACAAATTTAGAATGTAGCCTAAACAACGGAAGGGTAAATGCTGCAACACTGACGAGGTTTAAGCATGTGCCACTTTTGTTGGGAGGAGCAGGGTATAAAGGTATACATGTAGGACACGTAGAATAGTTAACAGTAAAAGAGTTTGTGTGGTTTTGCTTCCATCATATTTATTATTTTGTAGAGACGTTTGTGAATGTTAGACTTCTTTTATTGTTTTATTATATTTATGTATAAAACAGGTTGACTCTGCTTTTTTAAAATAAATAAGCAAAAAAAAAAAGTCTGTATGAACGCCTCTGTCATCTTTTGAAGGAAGTTACCTATAAACATCTGGTATGGTGTTTTGTTTTCTTAAATAAAACTCTTTAGACCAGACAATTTGAAGCAGACTGTAGCCATGTTTTAACTTAAAAAGCAGATTGAAAACTTCAGAAAACTTAAAGCAATATGTCTTGACTACTTAAAAATGAGTCAAGGTATTAATTGTCTTGCTAGGTGCTAGAAAAAGCTGGCTGGGGAAATAGACACACTTCACTATATGTTGTATTGCAAAAGATCTCGGTAATTTTTATATATATATATATGTATGTATATATAGTTCCATTTTCACTGTATTTTAAACTTAAACTTCATTTTTTTCCCCACATGTGGTTGGTAGTTGACTGGGACTCTTCTTGCTTGCTGACAAGCCGTTCAAGTCCTTAGAAAACAGGATATGCCTTGAACTGCCTCTGCCAGCTGCATCTTTGCAGCAACATTTTTTTTAAAACTCTGGCAGTAGTCGATTTAACGTCAGTGAGTACTGTATTAATTTCAAACTGCATTTCTCACTAATTTCACTATGCAGAGGTCAAAGCTCAACAACAGAACTACTGAAATGTTTCTGAAATGCATAGTGCCTTACTTCTTCCTCGGTTCTCCTCGGGATGAAACACCGTTGGTGTGTCTCTTGGGTTGGGACGCAGAATACCTACACAAATGTTACGCACCGTAACAGCCTGCTGTTTCTCTCTTGCCTTTTAAGTGGATCCCATGGACCCAAACACGCTCCAGGTGATCGCTTAGAAGGATGGAGAATGTAAAGATGTAGTTAAATGTAAGGCTGTGTATTTCTTACAGCGATGACACCTGGGTAGAAGAAAGAACGGTAAAACAGGTAGCCACGTACAGCATAGCCAAGCAGATATTTTGAAACTAAAGACACAAAAATCAACTTTATTGCTGTTGTAATTAGTTTTCTACATTTAGGAACAAATGTCATGCAAATGGGAAATTGTATTTTATTTCTTCCCTAAATGGGAAATCTGCATGGAGATTCATAAGGAAGTACTCTATATTGGAAAAAAAATACTGACGTTTTTAATGTGATGTCACATTTAATTTACATTGAGGTGAGTGTTAGCTGATGAATTCGTAGGAAGAAGCGGGTACGTGCTTTTGCTCCCATTTGATTTACCCGTAACACACTATGTGTGCCAAATGCAAAATACCATGTAGTTAATCTACGACTTTTTTCAGTGCTGCTGATTGTCAGTTACTATCATGTGTTTTAAGGTTCACACATCATAACAGGTAGTTCATTAATTTTAAGAGTTAAGGAGATATGTGACATTTCCTTTTAAACCTGTCAATTCTTCTGGAATGAATTTATAGCCCTCTTCTACCCTTCCAGCCAAAGGTCATTCCAAATGCTATATGTGGAATTTGTCTGAAGGGTAAGGAGTCCAACAAGAAAGGAAAAGCTGAAGCTCTTATACATTGCTCCCAGTGTGACAACAGTGGTAAGTATCTGCATACACTAAGCGGATTCCTAAGGGAGTTTGTTTGGCAGATCTTTTTGTGGAAATATTTAGCGTACCACACTTGTGTGCCACCGCTTCAGTTGCCTTTTCTGTCCTTCGTTAAGGCTCCCATCTCTGTTTAACGTTACGTGCACTAGCGCAGCCCGTGTGCTGTGGGGTCTCGCCAGGAGGCGAGCTAAGCTTCAGCTTCTCTAAAAGCAGACAGTCTTAACTAATCTTAAATTTCATTTCAGACATAAAAGTAATAATACTGGTTTTAATCTAGGCCACCCTTCTTGCCTTGATATGACCCCGGAGCTTGTTGCTATGATTAAGACTTACCCTTGGCAATGTATGGAGTGTAAAACATGCATTATATGCGGGCAGCCTCACCATGAAGAAGAAATGATGTTCTGTGACGTATGTGACCGTGGTTATCACACTTTTTGTGTGGGGCTTGACGCCATCCCTTCAGGTAATAAAGTAAGAGTTAATTGTTCCCTTCCCACCTCTTCCCGAGTCCTGGGCTTTCTCTGTCAGAATTAACATAGGCGTTGCTTTTGAAAGAATAGTTTAAAGCAGTCTTGCGGGGTAGGAGTAACCAATGCTGTAGGTTTCAAAGCATTCACGCTGTAGGACCCAGGTTTTTTAGTAAGCTTTATTTCTGTATATTTGGTTGTGCACAGTTTAACCTGGCAATTCTGGTATAGGAAATATAATTGGCTTTTACAACAGAATCCGAACAGACTCAGTTAGAACCAGGTTGGGCTTTTTTTCCCATATCCACAGAATACTGAGAATAATACTCTTTTCATAAAAGAAACCTATCGAGAGGCTGTATTGCTGCATATTGCTGGAGCATAGCTTTCACATTAATAAAGAGTTTGTGCTGTTATTTCGGTTTCTAAATTAGAAAGTATGCTCGGTTTAGTATTTGTAAACACCTTATTAAATCCCTCCTTTCCCATTACTTTCTTGAACGTCAAAGCTGGAAGCGAAGTACCTCAGTGTCAGGCAGCCTGTACCTTTAAATTACCTGGTCACTCTTACCCCCTGGCCAACTTTAGGCACCGTAAAGCAAGCTTCAGACGTACAAATAAGGGGTAGTACTGTTGATTTTCATGTAATGCTAAATCCGGGGTAAGTTAGTTCACGAGTAAGTATTCAGTGGCTGCAAGTTCTGCAGTGACAGTACGCCCTGTAACTGCAGGGCTTCAGGCACATTCCCATTTTGGGAGGCTCTGGCACTAGCTGTCACTTCCCTGCAGGTTCTGTGGCCGATCGAAGTTTCAGGCTGACCTAGGGACAGAACCTAAAGAAAATGGATGATACGCCTACAAAATTGCCAAAGCAGCCTTTATGATTCCAGCTGCTGTAATATAAACAGTTAAATGCTTCTGCTCTTTGCTCAACCCTTTATTGTTCCCTCTGTAAATGAGTTTTAGTACAGGGTCTGGTGATGAACCCCTGCCAGCAGCTTCATCTGTCCTGCTTGGCTGCACGGGAATAACTGGCGCTGGTTTGGGAAATGGGACCCCATGCCTGGGGCAGAAGAGCAGCATTCCTCAGCTGCCATTCATTTCTGCTCCAGGTAACTGCCCATAACCTCCAACTGTGGTCATTCCCGTGCAAATACGACTTGGAAACCCATGGTTTGTCAAGTTGTTCCTTAATAACCACCTCCTTAGCAGTGCTGCCGCTTCTTGAGGCCCACAAACTTGCGTAGCCAGCTGCTGCTTGTAATGGGTCCGCAACGGAGGGGGAATTTTATTTCCTGCTTTCTACACCTTTTCTGAAAGATGCTTACATTTTAAAGAGAAGCACTGGTCATTTACATTGAAGGAAGCACTGCAAGTAGATGAGCACCTATCAGAATGGTGAAAGGTGCGTAACTAGATGAGTGAGTCACAAAGGTAGTTTCCCAATAATTGATAACTTTCTTTTCTTAGGTCGCTGGATTTGTGATTGTTGTCAGAAAGAGCCTCCCGTACCCAGAAGAGGAGGAAGAAGGGGGAAAAACAGCAAGGAGGGCTAAAAAAAAACCCCAAAAAACTTGCTGTCCAAAACTTAACTGCACAAATCAAAGTGATACTTTGGTGCTATTTAACCAACCACTCTAAGAGGAACAATGCCACTTTTTTTTTCTTTTTACCAAATAAACTTTTAATTTTGGCTATATAATGATTTTTTTTTGTGATACAAGTGACTAACCACGTCCTGTCAGATGTCTAGATAGAGACAAGCCAAATTCCCACTTAAAAAAAGAAGGCTTTCAGTAATGAAATTTAAATTATACATGCACCATTTGTGTAAAATTATAGTAACGTGCTTGTTTATTTCAGTGCACTCATCAGTAAGCTCTGTGAAAAGAAGATTACAGAGCAATTTAAGTATACACTATTTGCATAGCAACTGGTTATTTTGAAAGACTCAATGGAAGCAAAAAAAAAAATTCCTGGAAAAACTGACTCTCAAGGAAGAGTGGGCACGACCTGACCTTCTTACAACGTACTGCAAATCCCTTTCTGCAGAAATTTTCTTTGCAAGCTAACGGGGAGGTGGGAGACTCATGGAGATGTACTTAAAAAAAAAAAAAAAATCCATCACAAAAAGCTATAACGGGAGGTGTAAGAAAACACCTCTCAAGTTCACGATACTCCGTGCTGGGTTGCTTTTAATGAGGGATGAAAGCGTCGTATTGACAAATGACAACAGCTGAAGGCAGCGTGCTCTCCCTGCCGGAACGGCGAGGAAGCATAACACGCGCTTGGCTCAGGTCAGGGATGTGCAGAGGTGACGAGTGACTTGGACAGACCTCTGCCTGACAGACGGCTGACCGTAGAGTACAAGCAGCCACAATACAGCTCACCCATCCCCTTGGGTGACTGACTGGTTTTCCCTTCCTGCACCCTAGGCTCCTTGCTGTGCATACACTTAAAAGCCATTGCTAATTGGTTTTACTGGAAATACTTGCTCAGAAAAGGAGCAGGCTTTTTTTTTAAATACGCTCTAAACTGAGAGGGGGCACTGAAGTCCAGCCGTTTGCTGCTTTACTTTTCTTTATAAAAAACAAAAACCCCAATAGAAAATACTGAATGGGAGCTGCCTAAGCACCCATTTAAAGTGAATTTAACAGGATCCCAACCATACATTCATTTTTAAGCCCTGATCTCTGAAGAACACTGCCGATACTGTGCTTGCTGCTCATTTTACATATGGGGAGGATTTACAATACAAAATTAAATATGGCTTTTTTTTTTCCCCCCACTTCCGTTCTGGTTTAGGGCAAGTAACCTGAATACCTCTTCAGGAAACGTAACAAAGAGTATTAAATATCACAGCAAGTCATTAATGTTCAATTTCACAGGCTGAGGTGTGATTTAGTCCAGTGTGTATCAATTTAAAAAAGAATTTCAAGTATTAACTTCAAGATTCCAATAAGTATAGTCCAGAAAACAGATTCCTCATCCTGAGATTCATCTTCTGTGGACTGTGAGTATTTCTGGTTTGCCTCCGTCTCCTCGGGGTTGTAGGAAGCCTCGCCAAACGGATACTGCACAACTGTTCGATCGTAGTACACTTTCATTTCAAACTCGCTCTCCAGGTGAGAGGGGTGACCGTAAATCCCTATTCCCACCGGCCGGCGGAAGTGTGCGGGAACGTGGACAACATCTTGGCCGCAGGTTACAGACTGTAACTCGTACTCGTCAAAGCTGGGGTGAAGCGTGATGTCAGATACATACAAGTCTGCGTCGCCTTTTAAACTCCGCATCTGAAGTACGATCTTTCCCTCGTGGTTTAGTCTCAAATAGCTGTAGTTGCCCGCTCCAATCTGGCCTTGGACAACGTGAAGAAGAATCCATTCTTCAGGTACGTCCTCTTCCTCAAAGGCATTTGCCACAAACAGTACTTGAGCTGCCACAAATATTAGCAGGATTCTTCTCCAGCGTGCTGCCATGGTCTTCGGTGATATGCAGACTCCTCCCGTGTCCTGTGCGCTACCTTGCGAATGCAAAACAGAATTCAGATTTTAGCGTATTCCGTTCCTGGAAGGAACAGATTTTTTAAATTTTTTTTTTATACTTTGATAATTTTAGAAATCCGCTCTAGTCCATACAAAGTTAAGCAACTTCAATTAAGTATGTTCATTAACTTTTCTTCCTTTTTAATAGTAACAAAAACCGTTGCCAAGATTCAGAGCTCTGCAGGATTAAAATGGCTTGAACTTCTTAAAGAAGTTAAAACAGAAATTAATCAAGCGGGTGTTCTTTCATCCAGAACTGACACGGAGACTTTAGTTTCATCCTACCTGCATACATGCCCTATCTGACAGATACCCTGAAGAGACAAAACCCAGAAACTATTTTAGCCTCAATTTAAAAAAAAAGTTAAAAAAGAAAGCTTTTGCATGCTTGAAGAAGCTTAACTTTGTATCAGGTATTCAGGGCATTCTATTTGTCCTCCCATCCCCTCAACGTCAGAAGACAGTTAAAGGTGCAAATCTGGGTACGTGCATGAAGCAGAACACATTCCAACTTGCACTGGGAACGGACTTACAAATGAATTATCTAGTGAGATAATATATTAATTTATGATTCTGTTGCACGGATTGTTTCTAGGGCTAAACTTGGCATATTCTGCCTGAAAAAAAATGCATTTAACTTCCCTAAAGATTTTCTTACCGCACAAATCCTCAGCTCTTTACAGCACTTCTTAGAAAACAGAAGGCTTAAGTTACCGGGGCGAGGGGGAGCTGGAAAGGCCTGCTGCAAGATTAAGGCTCTTACACCCTTTCCCTCCTCCTTGGACGTTCCTGGCCAGGCAGCCCGAGCGTGCCTACCGCACTCCAGTCCTTTCAACAGAGTGTGCATGTGCAAAGCAGCAAGCTCTGAACCCTGCCGAAGGCTTCCAAAGCACACAGCTGACTGAATTTGACATGCAAATCACAGCCAAGCAGAGCCAGAAGCAGACACACTTTCATGTTCCAGGTGAAAATTTTTATCCTCTCGCGCCTTCCAGAAGGACACTGCAATTATCTTAAACGTGAAAGCTACCAGAGTAAGTTGTTTTGTACCCTGCTAGCATGAGAACAAACTGCATTACTTCCACCGAGATGACACTTAAACCTTAGAGGTTTTGCAGTGAAACAGATCTAGGGGAAAAAAAAAGTACAAATATTTCTGTAGTTCCGAGTTTTCTACCCCAGAGGCCCCTCTACTGCAAGGCCACAATTCTGCAAAGACAGCACAAAAGAAGGACGCACAGCAGTCACAGAACCTGCCAGACTGACAAAACCCCATCAAATAGTGACAGAAAAAACCCCCCCGGGTCTTCTGCCTTGTATCTCTCTGTGTCCGGGAACTGACTCCACCACTTTTAAATCGAAGCGGTGATGAAACATCCCAGCGGAGGAACAGGAAAAACTCCACATCAGAGCACAAAATAACGAAGTTACCTAGGGACAAACGAATTGTTCTGGCGCTGGAGCCGCAGGTGGGAGGAGAGCCGATGCCAGGAGACCTTGGACAGAGCCAGGAGCGCCGCTGCCCGCGCCCGCTCTCGCTCCCGCCTTCCCCGCGGGCGCGACGGCCCCT